AAAAAAATAACAATGTAACTGCAAAAATTACGTGAAATAGCCATTCAGCCTGGGATACTTGCATTCCATGTTGTACGATCTTCAGCTTTGGCGCGATGTTATGTAGAGCAGTAGTGTTACCGGAACCTCTGGACCAGATGGGTCGAGTTGAATTTTTAACTCGTTTGGATGTTTCATATTGCGTGGCAAGATTGGTCTAAATGGTGCTACGGAAGAAGAGATTTCCACATGAAGTACAATAAATTTCTTGTATAGTACTACCAGTAAATTGCCATGCCTGATTTCCAGGGGGGGGCAAGTGCCCCCCCTTGCCCCTGGGAGCGGACGCACATGGTATAACCCACTTACCCAAGTAGCTGGTTTTTACTCTATATCATCATTTCGTACCATATACTCAGATTCCCTATCCAATGGAGGTATTCCCACCCGTAGTACGGAACCTGTACTATGTACTTCAATCTACCAAGGACATGTATATATCCTGATAGGCAGGAGACATAGGACAGTACAGACGTTGATTTTCCAATGACTGTACTGATTACAGTACGTGTCAGAGGATGGACCACCTCATACGGTTCCATGAAGCATCCGCAATATCAGTCCATTTCTTCTTTCTGTGATGGAGATGAGGAAAGGACGGAATTGAGGTCCTGAGGTTCTCTCTATATTTCAGATCTCCTGTCTCCAGTTTTTCAAAAGGATTCTCATCGGGAATATGAGTTTGTTTATGGCCTGAGATCCATGAATCTGTCTTGAATAAGTGGATAACAAATGCTGAAATGTCCGCGTTGAAATGTCCGCGTTTATTGATTCCTATAATGAGACTAGGCGAGACATATGGCGAGGTAGTAAACAATCCTACGAAGGACGATTCCAGGGAAAGAGGGAAGGGATCTTTTGCGCGCTGCGCGAAAAGCGAGACCCAAACCTACATCTAGTGACCTGGCGAAGAACTTCGAGGTTTTGAAGTTCTCCACCAGGAGTGCTGCAGTTCTTTTCAACGTGTGGATATGCCCAGGTTGGGCTCACACGGGGCCAACATCGTTCCGCAACATTCATGTTCCGCCAATGTTTCCCACCTACATCAAATGTGGGCCCAACGTAACGTGTTATCTGGGAATCTGCTACGGTACACTATGGTATTATACCTCAATGGACGCCACTTAGACATGCCAATATAAGGAAGAAAACGAGTGAGCTAAAGAGGCGGGATGGAGAGGAATTGCGTCCGCTTCTCTTTCAGCCATGAAGAGACCCTTCACCTACGGAATGGGGAACTAAGAGAAGTGCTAAGGTTTCTCCAACTTCGGTTCTTATCCACCAACTCTGATCTAAAATCCATGCAGAGGCAATGATGCAACCAAAAGAACGAGATGAGGGCGGTTACAGGGGGCTTGAACCCTCTGTAGCCTTCCCCCCTCCTCGCGTGGTGAGAACATCAGTAAACAAATAAAATGGTAAGACACCTTTGTCTGCATCAACATTCCCATCGAGAAGGAGATGCATATGAGTGGTCTCGGAAATTTTCGGTCCTTTGATCATAAAATCCTGGCTATGCCACTGCACCTACGGGACCCGGGTCTTTTTCAGGGCAGCAATAAAGGATAGCACTTCACCTCGGATGGCGCAGCCAATATCTTGCCGCAAGTGGCTCTTCAGAACAAATTCTCATTCAAAGTTTCATTTCCTACTTGGATATGATTCATCCATGACTCCCAAACAATCGTCCAAGATCTTAAAACTCCCCCGAGAATTCTGCGGCGTAAATTGGACCGGATCATGGCAGAACCAGCAGAACTGACCAGTTGGGAGTGTGAGGTGGACTCCCCCAACATTGACCCGAGCAGCTGAGAGCACCCTTGAAGCTGAAGGAGTCAACCATGCTGATATCTACACGAACGATCCACCTCATTTCCATTAGATCTTACCTTCAAGACCATGAAAAGCAGCGTGAAGAGTCTCTAGTGGGGAGGAGAGCTCCACATATCGCTTTTTCACAAGTTGCCAAAACGAACCCGAAGAAACGGAAGACACTTGAGAAAAAAAAATGGGCATCGTGGAATTTTTTTTTTCCTCCGTGCCCATAATCAAGTCACTTCAAACCTTCTTTCCTCTCTCGGAAATGCAAAAGGGAGCGAGGCGATTGCTATCTGGCTGTCACAGGGGTATCTCTAATTCTCTTCTGAAAAAATGATTAAGAGTGGATTTTTGAACAGAGTACAATCCGATAATGCTGCTTTATTTACCGGATTTATAATGCATTTTCTCAGAAATAAAGCTGCATTATCGGATAGTTCTCTGTTCAAAAATCCACCCTTAGAATGTAAAGCGAGAAAGAGAGAGCTTCTACGTCTCTTTCGTTAACTACGATTCTCTGGAGACCTTGTGATCGAAAAACGAGCCGTAGAACAGGAGGCAACTAGAGAGGCCAAGAAGAGCTACAGAAGCGGATAGAGTGCTCCGCCACTCCTAACCCTACACCGTCTGCGGGTCGGCCCGATTGGCCCGACCCGATCCGACCCGCGGGCCATTTCGAGTCGAAATTTCAAAGATTACTCTTCGACTCGGGTCGGGTCTGTTCGAGTCGAGCCGAATTCATCTCCTCTTTTTTTTCTTCAAATATTGCCTCTGAGATATTCATGCTCATGGTTATTCTGCGTCTGGACTGGAATGCGTTAATGCATTTTGTTTAAACAAAGGAGAATCCTTATATATCAGGTCATCCCATAAGTAATGTCGTTTTTCTGGCATAGCGCCTTACTTGTGTCTTCTTTATACATGTATCTGCGAACATCCCATGGAATATTTCTATGCTAACTTGTGCAGGGGTTAGTCGTCAATATACGTGCAGGT